AATCTTATCTAATCGTATCTAACCTTTATCTTATCTATCTATCTGTGTACACATATATATATACATATTTAGATGTACACATATTATATATATATATGTGTGTGTACATACCTTAGATGTGAGATGTAAAGTACTGACATGTCGTATACTCGACTGCATCCAGCACTTCTCGCTCGCAACTCTTTTTCCCGTTTCGTCTTTCGGTCTCAACCTGCCTCCAGCAGGATAGTGCTTTGGTATGCTGTGCAGATTCTCTCCTGCACAGCAGCACTGGTCAGACTCGTGCTCCTGCTCCGCAATCCTGTATACCCAGGATGCTGCGCAGGTTGTATCTATCCCAACCAGTGCTAGTGTGTAACTACACACAGAGATCAACGAGACAGGATACTCCACGGGAGTCCCATCTCATAGGGAGGGAGGGTTGCGAAAAGAAGATGTTGATGAAGCCAGTTTGGCTCACCCTTGAGCCAAAAAATGTGTTCATCAACTTGCATGCTCACCTTAATGATAATGCACACCCAATGCCTGCCAAACACGATGCACACGTATACACACATAGGGCATTCTTGCCTTAACATTTCATATGCTGAGATTCATCCTGGAACAGATAGAATACGTAAATTTCCAAAAATCCTTGCTAAAATGGGCATATGTTTGAAACTTCCATGTTCTATCTACTCCGGTGTGACTATGTATATGTATATATATATATATACATATGTATTTAGCACATGCATACACATGAAATGTCAGCATGTCTTTTCAGATCCATTCTTGGTCAGATCCGACGCTTCCCACATTGGGACACCAGGGACACGCCTTCAACTTCGTCAGCGTGTCAGTGGTGAGTCCCCAGCTGAGTTTCGGGGTCCGGTGCCAAGGGACATCGGGGCCGTGCTTTGGACAATGGCGAGCGTAAGCAATCGTGGCGAAACAAGCCCACGGGGCTACTAAAGTCGCCACAAGACCAACCATAAAGTGTTTTTTTGTGGGGTACTTGGGGACCAAAGATGTGGCCAGATATGGTGATTTCGAGCAGATGGCTCATTACTTTGAAACTCTGTGACCTAGACCCTAGAAGCTGTTTCTGCGGGATTGCCGCAATTGCCAGATGTACCGTAGATCAAAACATGGAAGTCATCACAGCTCTTCCTGGCAAAGCCTGGAAAAATCATGTGCAATGGGTATCTGCATCAACGTCCTGGATTGAAGGTCCGAAAATACGAACTTCTTTGGCACAACCAATAACATACGATACCCTCTGGTAATTTAACCTAGCTATTGAAAATACTCCATTTATAGTTGATTTACCGTAAATCAAACTGATAATTTTTCTATAGCCATGTTATTTTACCAGAGGGTATTGGTTTCGTTTTTAGGCCAAATCTTCAAGGATTTACCTCATATGGGGATTATCATCCCATATGGTGAACCAGAACCTGCAAAAAATCTACGTCTGCGACAAGCCAAAGACGGGGACCCCCTGGCAGTCAGCGCTTTAGCACCGACATCACAAAGCGACCCGAATCCAAGCGACACGGTCCAAGGCTTGAAAGTGGGGTTGATATATGTCCCAACCGGGTTGCGGTCTTTGTTTTTGTTCAATGCACCTCATATTCTCTTCCAACGATACAATGATTTCTAGATTCATGAATTGTCCACTTGGAAGAGCCTGACTGGCCCTTTTTGAGCGGATCCGCCTATAAAGAGGAGCGGAGTTTTCCACCTTTCCCAGTAGGACATTCACGGAACGTCGGAGATTTCCAGGGGTGGGGCCGGATGCTTGGGGGCCACCCTTAGCGCTGCTCCCCCATGGTCGCATGACAGCGCTGGAACCATCGTGGGCAAAGGTAAATTCCCGCACTGAAATGTGGGAAAATCATAGGAAAATTCTGTGGCGGAATATTGGACAATCCCAACAAAAATCCAAAAAAAAATCGGAAAATATTGGAAAGTTGCTGAAATCCCACCTCGATGGATGTTCTAATGGTGATTGGATGTATTTCCCCACATCTTTGTATGGGGTTCTCGTTTTTTGTTGTGCGCTCCCGGCCGTCCCGTCTCACACACAAGTACTCACACACAACAACAGGCGTGGCACTTATGGCACTGGGCTGGCTCTGGTGGCGCGCGTGGTTCCCGTGGGCGCCACGGCTGTTTGCGTGGCAGGCGTGGCATTTGGAAGCACCGACCTCGATTCTGTGTGGCACTTGTAACACTTCATGAAATCGACCTTCATTCTGTGTGGCAGGCATGGCACTTGTGGCTGTTTGTGTGGCAGGCGTGGCATGTGGAAGCATCGACCTCGATTCTGTTTGGCAGGCATGGCGCTTGGCGCAACCGTCTTTGTCCACACATGCCACACAACAATTTCACACACAACTCCTTCACATACAACTCTCTCACACATATCTCTTTCACACAATCTCTCTTCCACCATCTCCACGCTACTCACACACACTTTCTCACACACAACTCTCTCACACACAACCTTCTCACACACACACACTAGACAAGAATGGATCATTTAAGTGATCCGTCTGGAACTGAATCCCATCACATGCAATTAGTTAGAATTATATATATATATATATATATATATTTGCGACTATGGTGGCCACCAGCTGCGACTTATATGCGCCCAGGTGCGCCACCACAGTCCCGCAGGTAAGTTTTCACGGGTCCCAGGGAGGTGTCTTCATTGGTCACCGACGCCCCCGCGACCCCAGTGACCCCCTGCATTAAAGAATAATATAATATAATATAATATAATATAAATAATAAGATTAAGTTTTACGTCTGTTCAGACATTACACACACACACACACAGGCACACACAGGCACACACACACAACTCTCTCACACACAACTCTCTCATACGTACCTCTTTCACACAATCTATCTTCCACCATCTCCACGAAACTCACACATACTTTTTCAAACACATAGTATAAACCTTCTCACACACAACCTTCTCACACAGAACTCTCTCACTCGATCTGTCTTCCACCATCTCCTTTCTGTTTTCCTGCCTTTCCCATTCCGTCTTCACCTTTCTTTTTCTACTTATTGGAAGAAGTTGACATGTGGGGTTATCCGGTCTTTAATTATTATGGACCATTTAGAATGGTTCCATATAACTAATGGTTCAAAACTGATGCCAAACCATCAAGCCCCACTTAAGTGGTTGAGAAGGCTTGTCATCTATAAAAGAAAAGGCGGTGAAAGGTGCCCCCAATCGTGAAGATCTTCCACCAAAAACATCTTAAATGAAGTGACAACCAAGGACTTTGATGCTTGTTCTGTCTGTTTTCAGATGAGAAAACCATCTGTCAGTGTCACGCGCATCAAAAGTGGGCCCGCCTGCTGGCCGCCAGTTGATTGGTTTATTCTGAATGTATCTTGCACTTGGGCAAGTCCGCAATCCAATGTACTGGTAAAATCTGTAGATATATGTATTTACATACGTATGTATATATATATATATATGTAAATACACACACACACACACCATATCTGTGTCTCTCAGAATTAGCTTCCCCAAAGCATTCCTTTCGTCTGTTGAATTTTTAAAGGGGTCCATTCTCCCGGCCTCCGGAGCTGATCGATGATATCAGTGGGTACCCCTCCAATAGTCACAATCCAATACTTAAATGGTACCCCTCCAATTAAACAATCTAGGTGTTTATTAATCCAGGGTTGACATTAGATAATATAAACTGATTCTTATCTAATATTATCTAACCCGTATTTTATCTAATATATCTAATAATTAGTTTTGGGCTAATTAGATAATTAATAATTCCCAAAACTATATAATAATTAGATAAAATTGGAAAACCCGAGAAACCCAATAATTACATAATGATTTCCAATAGATAATATAAACTGATTCTTATCATCCATCAATTCATCCATTAGTTTCTAATTAGTGGTTTTACTGGTTAATAATAGTTACTAATAAAACACAATAATTGATTGATTAAACCCACGATCCTTTTGGGGCTATGAAAATTATTCTATCTCCCAACACGAGTTTTCAGAATGTACCAGGAAATCACCAGCCATTTTCGCGATGTTTAGCCAACAAAATGTTGAACATATCTGAAAACCCCAAATCAAACGACCCACGTGGCACGCTGTTCACTTCGGCCGCCACGGGGGGGTATAGCTGCTGGAAACTCGCTTGACGTCTGGTTTGAAGCGATACAGCGATACGAATCAGCATCCAGGTCGTCCGCTACTGGCCACTCAACACCTGGGTAGTCAAAACATCTATGGAAAAACCATAGGAAACCATGGAAATATTATACCTATGGAAAAACAAAAAAAAACTAGGATTGTCTCCATGAAGAGTTGGGAAAGCAGCAACAGAAGCTTCCATTTCCATCTCTGCCATGAGAACCTCAATTTTTTCTGATCTTCCTTGGGGTGCTTCAAGCACCAACCCGAATTCACAGAGCAACAATACACTAAGTCACTATTCCCTTGACCAAAATTGCTTCATGGCAAAGGATGGTGCCACGTGGCCGTTTTTCAACGGCTGTTTTTCAAGGGCCGACCTCGGGTATTGAAACGACCGCGAGAAAAGTAGACCCGGACCTCCGTCGCTCGTCTGTCACTCACGATCTATGCATTGTAATCGCTCCCATGGACCCTGACCTTTGCAATTTTGCCTTTCTGGCACCAGCTCCAGGGAGATCCCCAACAGTTGTGAAGCCACTATGAAAGTAGATCATTTTGAGTGGAAAAAACATATCAATGGCAAAGTGTAACCCGTGAATCACTGTCATGTCGCTCTATGTCAAGCCAAAGTCGTTGGGTGGTTGAGTGGATGGTTTCGTGCTGAGAATGATGGCAACCGGGGAATGGTGCCCAACCCATGTTTTGCCTGTTAGAATCCACAAAAAAAATATGCCCTTTGATGATAGACCTATACTGTATGTGACATGGCCGTGACTATGGCATCTTCATTTCATGGTGAAGCCATCTCTGATCATCTTTATTCCACCATCAACCACGTGGCTTTCACAACGCAACCATCAGTTCATGCCACGGAGCGAACCCCGGGTTTGGCATCCTCAGAGCCAAAACGTACTCTGATTTCCCTTGCTTTCCCTCGGATCCATTTCCAACTTGGCCTGCGAATGCGATTTCAAAGGTGCGGGGTGAACTAAGTCGATAGATTTCACCATAGTCATGGGGGGCAGCCTATTGCTGTATATATATATGCATGTATATATGTATATGTATATATGTATATGTATATGTATATTATATATATATATATTAAATATGTGTATATATATACATATTATCATCTCCACATATCAAGATCATCTCCACATATCAAGGTGAACTTACGATGGGCATTCTATGAAATTTCAAGGGCAATGTCAACTGATCGCTTCTTGATCGGGGCTTATATCCTTGAAAAAAACGATATTTAGGAATGGCGTGAAAACGAACTCGGTTTTTGGGGTAGAAATAACCTACAAACTCTAGTAGATCACTGGGGTCAACATAGGCCCAAACAAATTGGTCCTGCATGGTTTTATAGATAGAAACCCTGGTACCTTTGTCGTTAAACTGGTGTCATACTATCTGCAAATGTCCTTGCAAGGTGTTGCCCCATAGTTCGCTGAGTTAGCTTATAACTCCAGTAACTGGGGTTTATGGTAGATATAACTATAATAACAATGCGTTACAAACTACTGTAACAAACATACCTGGGGGGACACCATTTTGTACATGTTACAGCACCTGAAATTTATGAAATGCGAACGCCAGGTGATAGTCTCTTCCTTCTCATATAACATGCTGCTGTTTGAGACAATTTGGGCAACAGATAAAACAAAAATGGGCTGTTGAGGTGGGGGGGCAACCGATATTGATATTGCAACTTGCTACAGGATTCGCTGCTGAAGCTGCAACGGATTGGTTTTGTTGGGAAAATCTGACAGCGGAAACCATGGATGTTCCATGATTTTTTTTGGGGGGTTCCTGTAAATGTGCCCTTAAACTAATCCATTGATGCAATAAAACGACCTTGTAGGTCACTATGTGAAGCTTATCATCCATCAACAGTTTCTAAAATGAGAACCGCTTTCAAGTGGGAGACACTCCGGTCATGTTCAATGTGGCTTGCTAGCTTCGATCACATTAAAACTGCGTGAGGGAAGTGTCCACATTCAAAATTTATTTTTGGTACCATCTGATTAATGGCTTTTGGGGAGCCTCCATGTTTGTTGCTGAGAAAGCACAAAAATATCAAAAATCAAGTTTCTCATTCTATCCCATGTCCATTCTGTCCCCTTTAGATGCCACATGCCATCATACCATTTTATTGCTGTGCATGAAAATGGGGCGTACCCGCATATGACCATTTTGGGGATTGTTTTTTTCTCGCCCATCAAAATCCATATCCCACATCCAAAAGCGAATTCCCAATGCGACTGTCCCACTATTTCTATCATGATTTCCATGCCCATCCTCCCGTCCTCTCATTTTTTCCCGTCCGCGAATCCCATTCCCATCTGGAGGATCATCCCACGAATCGTAACTGATTAGGAAACATAGTTATAAAATATATGAACCTGATTGAACTAATAAGTAAGCATTGTATAAATTATATAACTATAGTAACTATACTATTATATTACTATATCATCCCATAATTAAAATATAACCCATTTATGTTGTAGAACCTTATTTTTCATGGAGACTTAATAAATCAGATGATCCTCAAAGCATCCCATGTAACCACTAAGAGTGGGCTTGCTGTAACCATAGTTCTTTCAGCAATGTATGTATTTTCATAGCATTCCCAATCCCACATTTTTTCCCAATCCGAGTTCCCATTTTTTTTCCCCAAAGTTTCCATCCGCACCTGTTTCTTCTTGACTTTCGCCTCCATTTGAATCACCCGTCGCCGTTCCTTCGCCTCCTCTGCAGTGCAGAAATGGCAATGGGTGCAGCTGTCGCCCTTGTAGCACCCCGCCGCGCGGATTGCAAAGGCGACACCTCGGTTTTGGGCTGGCCTTTAAAGGCTGGCTTTCATGGCAAACATCCCCAAAAAGCAAAAAAAAATCATGCAAATCTATGGGATCTATCAAAAATCTGGGGATTCAGCAACGAAAATGTGGATTTGAGCACCAAAAATGGAGGTTGGGGGTCGAAGTCAAGATATGGAGAGCAGTGGATATAAACCCCAAATCAACTAAATAACTGGTTGGTACCCAGCGAGTTCTCTATCTATCTATCTAATCTAGTCTAATCTAATCTAATCTAATCTATCCTATCTATCTATCTATCTATCTATATATATATATATTACTTACGGGACAAGCCAATGAAATGGGAATGGGCAGGATGGGTGACTCCTAAAAGGACAACATTTTGAAGAGCTACCTGCGGAAATCTTTCACATAATGGGATATCACCAACAATAGTGGAGGTATACTCAGCAATCATGGAAAATAGTTCGGACAATCATGAGAAATTTATAGGATATATATGGATATATGATATATGATTTGAAAAAAAAAAAGAAAATATGGGACCCCCAGTTCTCATCCATGTTATTTTCGGATTTTCCATGAAAACCATCCAGCCTTCTTGGGCTTTTTTGGTTCACCAAGCACAAAGAGTCCAGCTAAAAAATGGTGGTGGCGGGATCATGGTTTCTTTGGAATAATCATCATTCATATGTACAAACAAAATTAGACTAATCATGACTAATTTACCCTCTGGTAATTTAACATAGCTATGGAAAATCACCATTTTTAATGGGAAAATCCACTATAAATGGCCATTTTCAATAGCTATGTTAGTTTACCAGAGGGTAATCATCATTAAAGATTCAAACAACTATAGAACCATTCACTTACTACGAACCATCGCAATCAGAACATTTCATTACCATGATTATTCCATAAGGCCTGGTTTTTGCAGCTTGGGTTTTTTTTGCCCGATGGCCGCACGGTCAGAATCGCGATCGGGGATCTTAGCTTAAAAGATTGGAACTACAGAACAATTGTAAGGGTTCAACCAGCAAAACGGACTTCTTAACTAGCCAGTTATGGTGTTCACCGACAGAAACCAAGTAGTTCCTTAAAAAAGAATCCTGCATCGTCCGAGGAAATAATCATGTTCAGATCTTCATGAGAAAAAGAAGGGATGTCGGATCTTAAGTGCCAGAATTGTTTCACAATGATTACCCACATGTTCCGATTCTTAAAGAGTTACCATCTGGTTATGACTAACATAACCATGGAAAGATCCACCCATGTTTAATAGGTAAACCATCTATTTCTATGGGCCATCTATACCATGGCGAACTGTTAAATAACCAGAGGGTAACGTCCTTGGCTCGAAATCGATCCCAATCCCTTGCTCCCTCAATACCTCTGGCGAGTACATGGATCTTGACAGCCAAGGAGTACTCGCATTCGTGGGCATATCCCCATGATATCCCCATACCAGCATAATAAGACTTGATGGGGATATCATGGGGATATAACCATTAACCCATTATACCAGCATAATATGACTGGTTTAATCTCAATTTTGTCGGTTACTAACTAATCTAACCATGGTTTCAATTGTTATCCAAGGTTTGGCTTACCTGCTCTCCGCAACAAAGAACTGGCTGTGTCAATGGGGGATTTGCGCAACCTAGCTGTAATCCAGGGCACATGGATGGCATTCTCCGCTCAAGTGTTTCTGCAAGGTCGTCATTTTCGCGTTGCCTAAGGGCTGGACCCGGCATCCTGTTAGGGGGTTTCCTAATAGTCATGGGGGTACCCAAAAATGGTTGGTTTCGAATGGAAAATCGATGAGAACTGGGGGTACCTCTATTTCATGAAACCTCCATATGGAGACAGACTCTTGGACCAAAAAATCCTGCTTAGATTCTGGGGAACTTGTGATCTAACCAGGATGTTGGCAGGTGCCAAATCCCAGATGGGGATTTTCCGGGACTCATGAGATCTTCTGGATCAACATCCCGACTGAGGTTGTCAATCCAGGGGACCCTCACATCATCCATTTTCGGATTTTCCATGATTTTTTTGCCCAGCTTACCCAGCAGTGAAAGGTTGCAAGGTTCCAAGACTGCTCCGGTTTTTCGGGGCGTGCATGGCTACGTGTCACCAGCCCCCGGCCCCAGAGATTGAAACCCAACAGATTCGCTGTTGGGAATAAACCATCCATTCATCTGGATATGTTAAAATTGGGTACCCGATTTAATTGGATGGTTACCATCTGGTTATGACTAACATAGCCATGGAAAATCCCAACCATAAAAAAGGATGTTTCTGGATTTCTAGCTGGGAAAATCATCTATTTTTATGGTTTCTATGGGCCATGGTTTCCATGGCTAAATTTAAAATCTCTGGTGCCCCAGGTCCTCCATTTTGACCCATGTCCTGTGTGAAAATATCTGGCACCCTGGCCAAATGGAAACCTCTGGTGGGTTTTAGACTGACTCACGCTCCAGAACAACCATCATGTCGGGTCTTAACTTATCAGCATCACTTGTATTGTATATAAACACAGCACCTTCTGGTCATTTAGATTCATTTATCATAACTATGGAAAAGAAAAAACATGTTTAGATATGTTTAGTAGGTAAATCATCTATAACTGGGCCGTAAAAATGACTCACCGCGTGTGACTCACCATGTTTGCTCGGTGATATCCCCAGCTGAGGGTGGCCATGGCACAAATGGCATCCTCACCGCTTCCCCAGAAAAACCAATGAAGCACCCATGGCAGGGGAAAACCCATGGTGTCGTCGATAGATTTTTCCAACCCAATCCATTGATTTTTCCCCACATCACTGTGTGGGGTTCGTGTTTTTCGCTTTGATCCCGCCGGGGGTTCCCCCCTCCGCCGCTTCCCTCACCACTCCTCACAGCTCCACTTCTCACACCTCACTCATCATATTATTACAGCACAGCTGCGGCGCGCTGGGGCCGCGCCTGCCTTTCGCGTGGCAGGCAGTGCACAGAGCGTCCTGGAGGAGCTGCGGCGCGCGTGGTCGCCGCTGCCCACGGCTGCCTTTCGCGTGGCAGGCGCAGTACACATGAGCAGTACACAGAGCTTCCTGGAGGAGCTGCGGCACGCGTGGCCGCCGCTGGCCCGCGGCTGCCTTTTGCGTGGCAGGCACAGTACACAGAGCTTCCTGGAGGAGCAGCGGCGCACGTGGCCGCCGCTGGCCCGGGGCTGCCTTTGGCCTGGCAGGCGCAGTACACAGAGCCTGGCAGGCGCAGTACACAGAGCCTGGCAGGCGCAGTACACAGAGCTTCCTGGAGGAGCTGCGGCGCGCGTGGCCGCCGCTGGCCCGCGGCTGCCTTTTGCGTGGCAGGCGCAGTACACAGAGCTTCCTGGAGGAGCTGCGGCGCGCGTGGCCGCCGCTGGCCCGCGGCTCCCTTTTGCGTGGCAGGCGCGGTAGACAGAGCCTTCGCGATTCCCTTGTGGGCTTCCTGGAGGAGCTGCGGCGCGCGTGGCCGCCGCTGGCCCACGGATGCCTTTTGCGTGGCAGGCGCAGTACACAGAGCCTCCTGGAGGAGCTGCGGCGCGCGTGGCCGCCGCTGGCCCGCGGCTGCATTTTGCGTCGGGCTCTTGTTTTTTCACTTGGATCCCGCCGCTCCTGTTCCCGCCTCCGCCGTCGTAGACTTATCACAACCACTCATCACAGCTCCACTTATCACATCACAACTTCTCATCACAACTTATCACATACCAACTCATCACAGCTCCACTTCTCACACCTCACTCATCACAGCTCCACTGCTCATCACAACTCATCACAGCTCCACTTCTCACAGGTCCACTTCTCATCACTTCTCACAGGTCCACTTCTCATCACAACTCATCACAACTTATCACATCCCAACTCATCACAGTTCCACTTCTCACACCTCACTTATCACATCACAACTTCTCATCACAACTCATAACAACTTATCACATCCCAACTCATCACAGCTTCACTTCTCACACCACTTCTCACACCTCACTTATCACATCAGAACTCATCAGCTCCTCTTCTCACACCTGACATCACAAGTCCACTTCTCACACCTCACTTCTCACACCTCCCCGAACCGAAGTTCACATTAAGCTTAAATACATAAAGGCTTGACATGTGGGGTTATCCGGTCATTTTATTTTCAGTCCAGGCGCTAATTTTATTCGAAGACTTCAAAACATGGGGAGGTTGAAGTTCGCGGATGGAAGCTTCTTCCAGAGAGGTCCCGTAGGTCACGGTACTTCCATGGTTGCCCAGTCCCAGACTCATTGCTCAAGAATTGGCTGAGAAAACGCACAGCTAGCTCTCAAACTCTAATCTTGAGCCACACTGTGGCATGGCTGCCATGTCTGTCCATGAGTCAATGAGCAGCAAATTTAAGGGTCAACTGACGGTTCTCACCACTGAAAAATTGTTGTACAGGTAATCTTGCAGGAAATCTCTGATTTTTCTGTGATGAAATAATCAAATTTCCTCCAGAAGTGCTCTTTTGATCTGCGAAGTGATGGTCCTCTCTTAGTGTTTATACCAGTGCTGATATGACTTTTGAATTACCCTCTGGTAATTCAACATAGCTATTGAAAATGGTCATTTAGTTCGTTGATTTTCCCATTAATAGCATGGTGATTTTCCATAGCTTTTTGTATGTTTACCAGGCCGGGTGACATTATTACCAGCCATATGTGCTTGTCTGAAAATACATGTAGCGTACCTTAAACTCCCATGTGACCGTCAATCATCATCTCCTCCATTCAAAGCGGGTCACGCTCGTTGCGCGGGTCAATCCCCGATTTTCAGACGACCCAAAAATCGTAAAATGTTGCTGAAAAATATCCCATAAAATATTTTCCCGTTATATCTGTGGATGATCTGATCATTGTATTGGCGAATTTCAGGATATGGACTAACCCCATGAACCCGATTTTGGATACTTGATTCCCAGATTTGAAACAGCAATAAATGATGGCGAAACAATCCCTTTAAATCACTCGTTTTGGTCGTTAAATCCCACTAGATCCCATTAAATCACCATTTTGGTTGGTTGAATCCAATCCCACTAAAACCCACTCAATTACAATTTTCGTTGGTTGAATCCCACTCAAACCCACTAAAATCCACGACGTTTCGTTGGTTACATCCCAACAAAAAAGCGCACGAAAAAAACGAATTTTCGCGGCTCAAATCCCATTCGATCCCGTTCCCCAACGATTTTCTCAGCATCCGGGCGTTCCTCACAGAGCGAGGCGCTTTTCGCGTGTTTTTTCACCGGCGCTGGCCGCCTCAGGCGTCGCATATCGTCGCTAATTTAGCGAGCTAAAGGAAGCGAGGTGAAAACACCGAGCTAAGTGGTTCATGTTTACCGAGCTACGTGGGAGTGCTACCCTCTGGTAAATTAACGGTTTGCTATTATTGAAAATGGCCATTTATAGTGGATTTCCCATTAAAAATGGTGATTTCCCATAGTTATGTTAATTTACCAGAGGGTAATGACATTCATTGATATCTGAGAATCACTGGGAAAAGAATGTTAACGTAGGTTGTATGGCAAAATTTTTGAACAGTGAAAACAAAGCCTCGGTCATCCCTCTATGACTTTACAGAAAGTGTGTTAACATTGTCACCATAGTTGCAAGGATTACCCTCTGGTCATTTAACGTAACTATGGAAAATCACCATGTTTAATGGGAAAATCCACTATAAATGGCCATTTTCAATAGCTATGTTAAATTACCAGAGGGTATCTAACGAATATGGAATCCAAACATCCAAACATCCCCAAAATAGATCGAAGTTGGTCACCGGAAACCTGGAAGTTGTGGAGCCAACATGATCTAAAAGATCCAAACGAAAACATGGTTGAATCGTCTTGGGGATCCCCAAAAAAGGTCGTTCCGAAAATTTCTCAAATCTCCAGAACCAGCGAAAATCCAAGTCTGTGGAAGGCGCAACTCCTCAAGTGGACTCCAAGATAAATAGATACCCTCTGGTAAACCAACATAGCTATTGAAAATTGCCATTTATAGATGGTTTACCTATCAAAAATTGTGATTTTCCATGGCTATGTTAAATAACCAGATGGTAAATAGATCAATATTCTTCCTAGTGTCCTAACTGTAGTAAGGAATAATTGATCCTAGACAATCTTTTGGTTGGATTTGATAGATGATGGGAAAAATGAAAATATGTTGCAGATGTTTTATCCTTTTTTTTAATGTCTTGTTTTTTTCATGTCTATGTCAAATTACCAACAAAATCATGGAGTATCTGCATTCCCCCATGATATTCCATGATTTTTCCATTAAATCACCATTAAATCACCAATTCTGTGGGTTAAATCCCCTTCAAAGATCACCATGCACCATGAAATCACCATTGGTTCACAAAAAGCTCCCCATGGCCGCTGAGAACCCACACACTTTCTGTTTGACCGCCTGAGAGGATTCAACGAGGAAAAAAATCGAATCGAAATCATCATGGAAATGATGAATTTTCTGTTCATGGTCATATGGCTATGAGTCATAACCCTGGTACCTAGTGAACCACAAAACAGCTGGTAAATGGATGTTCATCCCATTAAAATTGATACTAATAGGTTTTGACCCATCCCCATATACCCTCTGGTTATTTAACAGTTCGCCATGGTATAGATGGCCCTAATCGAAATAGATGGTTTACCGAACTTAAACATGGGTGGATCTTTCCATGGCTATGTAACAAATAACCAGATGGTATTTTCACCCATAGCTATCTCTCAAAATACAAAAAACATATGGACCTACTTGACCTACTTAGCTAGTTACTACTGTGGATGGTGTTTTTTAACTCCTGCATCACCAAATGGATGGTTGAAACTTTCGAAACCCTAAAAAAATGGGATAAACCCTAAAAATAATGGGATAAACCCTATAAATAATGGGATAAACCCTATAAATAATGGGATAAACCCTATAAATAATGGGATAAACCCTATAAATAATGGGATAAACCCTATAAATAATGGGATAAACCCTATAAATACTTGGATAAACCCTATAAATAATGGGATAAACCCTATAAATAATGGGATAAACCCTATAAATAATGGGATAAACCCTATAAATAATGGGATAAACCCTATAAATAATGGGATAAACCCTATAAATAATGGGATAAACCCTATAAATAATGGGATAAACCCTATAAATAATGGGATAAACCCTATAAATAATGGGATAAACCCTATAAATAATGGGATAAACCCTATAAATAATGGGATAAACCCTATAATAATGGGATAAACCCTATGAATAATGGGATAAACCCTATGAATAATGGGATAAACCCTATGAATAATGGGATAAACCCTATGGGATAAACCCTATAAATAATGGGATAAACCCTATAAATAATGGGATAAACCCTCTAAATAACGGGATAAACCCTCTAAATAACGGGATAAACCCTATAAATAACGGGATAAACCCTATAAATAATTGGATAAACCCTATAAAAAATTGGATAAACACCATAAATAATGGGATAAACCCTATAAATAATGGGATAAACCCTATAAATAATGGGATAAACCCTATAAATAATGGGATAAACCCTATAAATAACGGGATAAACCCTATAAATAATGGGATAAACCCTATAAATAATGGGATAAACCCTATAAATAATGGGATAAACCCTATAAATAATGGGATAAACCCTATAAATAATGGATAAACCCTATAAATAATGGGATAAACCCTATAAATAATGGGATAAACCCTATAAATAATGGGATAAACCCTATAAATAATGGGATAAACCCTATAAATAACGGGATAAACCCTATAAATAACGGGATAAACCCTATAAATAACGGGATAAACCCTATAAATAACGGGATAAACCCTATAAATAACGGGATAAACCCTATAAATAACGGGATAAACCCTATAAATAATGGGATAAACCCTATAAATAACGGGATAAACCCTATAAATAACGGGATAAACCCTATAAATAACGGGATAAACCCTATAAATAACGGGATAAACCCTATAAATAACGGGATAAACCCTATAAATAACGGGATAAACCCTATAAATAACGGGATAAACCCTATAAATAACGGGATAAACCCTATAAATAACGGGATAAACCCTCTAAATAACGCGATAAACCCTATAAATAACGGGATAAACCCTATAAATAACGGGATAAACCCTATAAATAATGGGATCTTGACCACCTTTATATCAACTGCTGCAGGATTTCTTCCATCGATGCCAAAAAACCTCCAGAGGCCACCAGAAGAGCTGACGTTTCACCTCGAAGCAGTTTTTTGCGGCCCAGTGAGTGGATTTTTTGTGGCATAAAAAAAAACTATCATATAATTATACAATGATAGGTTAGATTTTAATCATATCATACAATTGTAATACCATATGATTTTAATTGTATATTAATAATTATACCATACAATATTACCATAATATACCATTAAAAAAAAAAAACTATCACTACAAACATTAATATACATACAATATTATGCAATATCATGGTAATATTATACCATTAATAATTATACCATAATTATACCATACAATTAATATGGAAATGTTTTATCTATATTAATAATGCCACATTTATTTATGCCACATTTTATCTATCATAATAAAGGTTTTATGCCACATTTTTTATGCCACATTTTTTATGCGACATGTTATAATATGGAAATGTTTTATCTAATAATAATGGTTTATCTATCATATGTGGCATAAAATATAATTATACCATACAATATTACCATGATTAGAGGGGATATAATCATTAATATACAATTAAAATCATTAATATGATACCATGATTGATATTGTACCACACAATCAATATATATATATAATTATATATATATATTATCTACCATATTATTTAATATATAATATATAAAAAAACCATGGTTGATATTGTATACCATAATATTATCTAATACCATGATTAGAGTGGATATGATCATTCATATACAATTAAAATCATTAATATGGTATAAAATACATGATATAATATGGATATGAATTATATAATATGGATATGAATGATATAATATGGATATGAATGATATAATACGGATATGAATGATATAATATGGATATGAATGATATAATATGGATTATGGATTTAATTGTATCATATGGTAATAATGGGACCATCATGGATAATGGTATAATGATTACCGTAATGGGACTACCTCCATTATAAATGATTACCATCGATAATGGGACCATAATGGGATATGAATGATATAATTCTATATTATCCAAACTATGGGATATAATTAATATGATATGATATAATGGTATCATCAAATTGCTCTTCATATACCATAAATCATCATAATGGGATATTCACGGTTAATATTGATGCTACGATAATGGGATATTAGCATTCATATACCATAAATCATAATATACCATAAATATGATATAATAATAATAATGATATTAGCATAATATACCATAAATCATAATAATGGGATATTATTGATAGTATCATTAACACTATCATTGATATTACTACCTCGAATTCTGGGGGTAGACCTATGGTCGCTATCGGCCTATTGAAATGGGTCATGATTGGTGTAAAAAGATGTGGACTCCGTTTAGCGCATGTCCAGTGTCCAGAGATTTTGCCTCAACGATCTTAAAAGTAGCAAATATTCATAGAATCCTCCAGAAGCATTGCAAAGATTCTCTTTTCGCACAGGACCACGCCTGCTGTACCAACTCAGGCACATTCCATGGCATGCAAACCATTTTGCAAAAGCCGGTGTGTCACGCTCGGCAAAAACTCAACCAAAAAAACTCGGATTTCACACCGCGTTGGGTGCTTGTGAAACCCGTCAACGGCACGCTTTGTGCGCCGTTTGCCGCTGGGAGCCAAAGAGTTGTGCAGCGAAAGGACATTGTCACCAGTTCTCCCAGATGGGGCATCAAAAATACCATGGCCACGGCGATGACTCGCAGAGGTCATGTCTAGTGCAAAACTCTATGTCCGGAAAACTTGAAGAGACACCCGTGAGAAAACTCACAATCTTCATTCACTTCGGTTCTTTCCAAAGACCAAAGGTACACATGTGCCATGGTCAAACCCAGCGATGATGGATGCGCTCAAAATCTTCACCAAATCGTAACTTACTGATCTTCTGCCAAAGTCCCATCTTCGTGGCTAAGCTTAGATATCCACACATCAATCATCCCCGATCAAAACTTGTTTGCAATTCGCCAAAAAAAAACTGACAATTCAAATGGTTGCTCACCCATCATTCGTTGTTTACATCACCACTTTAGTTACTTCAAGTGCCAGAATTTTGCCGCATATGGCTATGAGTCATAACCCTGGTACCTAGTGAACCACAAAACAGCTGGTAAATGGATGCTCATCCCATTAAAATGGATACTAATAGGTTTTGACCCATCCCCATATATATCATATATTCCCATCACGGCTGCCTTTGTTCAGTAGCTGTTTTCCCCGCAGGATTGGTCCACCACAACGATGAATCGCATAGCAGGATGGCAGCCCAACTCGTTGGCTGCATAGAAGGGATTCCTGGGTTTCCCATATGCCAAACGGTTGGCAGATTTCCCACGGATTTTTGTCGCATCAACAAATTTAGGGAACAAAAATGGTGAAACAAATCCCAAATCATCCCAAAACCATGATTTTGTTGGTGTGTTCAAAGAATGTTTGCCATCAATGATGGTTGCTCAAAGGCTGAAAATTCTTACAAATCAAGGGCATTTCTTGCAGATGGGGTGCTGGAGTTTCCTTGTAGCTCCGAAAGTTCTTGGCCAACAGTCGATCTCCCCCAAGTTGAGGGAATGTTGCAGGGAAGTTCTATATCTACCATAGATGTTCCCCACAAAACCACAAGGTGAGCCCAACAAAACCATGTTTGTTGCTCTAGTTGCACCTCATACCATCAACCCAACAGTTCTATAGGAGTGATGTTCACCAACACAAACCAAAACCATGACCATGAAACATCCTATTAAATCACCATGTTTATGGTTATCCTATGATCTTGCCATGAATTTCCACCAGGTTTTTCGCATCAAAAATCCACCGAAATAATTTCAGCGGAGCTAGGCACTCGAAGGCATCCACAGAGGCACACTCCACTTTGTACATGTCAATCATGTTCAGCAAGGTATCTTTCTCCTGCCACACACGTTTGACAAATAGCTTATGAATTGATCGTTGATAAATCCGGGTTGTTGCTTTTTAAAATGGGAGATTCATAGTTGTGAAAAATGTTGCGAATGCTTATTCAGGGCTATTCATGGTTCTTAATGGTATATTCATAAGATCTAGATGCTATGGTTTTCCAAATGGGACATTAATTAATGGAATGTTAACGGGATATACCCTTTGGTTATTTAACAGTTCGCCATGGTATAGATGGCCCATAGAAATAAATGGTTTACCTATTAAAAATGGTGATTTTCCATGGCTATGTTAGTCATAACCAGATGGTATCTAAAATATGAAGGGCACAGCTTCACAGGTTCTCAAGCGTCAGCCCTGAAGCACTGCTGTTAGTCTCTGGGACATTTGAAAAGATGATGTACCCATCAATCCCACTGACATGATGTAACATGATGTACCCGCCTGGTAAACTAACATAGCTATGGATTTTATGGTGGTTTAAGGGGATCTAATGGGATTTAATAGGATTTACACTCTGGTAAACTAACATAGCTATGGAAAATCACCATCTTTAATAGGAAAATCAACTATAAATGGGCCATGTTCAATAGCAAACTGTTAAATTACCAGAGGGTAACATGATGTAACATTGGGACATCTATAGAAGTGTAAAACATCGATCTCTGGGAATTATGAATGTCCCATTTGGTTAGATGAGTTGCCTATCATTTTAACAATGGATATTTTTCCCATAGCAAACTCTTCAGTTGCCGGTATCGCAGATCAAGGGTTACAACGCCAGTCACGCAGCATGATCCAAGATGGTTTCCTCCACTCAAACATGGCCATTTTCCCATGACCAGGCCACTATCGACCATACACCATCACTGAAAATGAAGGGAAAAAGACCATGGCATCCCACCGTTGACCATCATTTCCCCCATGGTAAAGAGTGGCCACAAATAAAAGGGACGACAAACGGTAAACGTTGACAGAACTATGGAAAATCACCATGCTATTAATGGGCAAATCCAACTATTTCTATGGCCATGTTCAAGTTCGCAAACTGTTAGTTTACCAGAGGCTAAATCCCCCATTTTCAGACCATGTCATTTCTCGCGTTTTTGATATGACATGGTTAACCATGGATAATTCCCAAATGTACCATCTGGTTATGACTAACATAGCCATGGAAAGATCCACCATGCTATTAAGTTCGGTAAACCATCTATTTCGATTAGGGCCATCGAACTACCATGGCGAAGTGTTAGTCATAACCAGGCCGGGTATCCCCATTCCATGGATTCTCAATGGTTTATCACCCCAAAACCCGGGAAATCCCATGGAGCCACCTTTGATCCAATAGATCATTGGTCCAATCTGCCCTTCAATGGGATTACAAACAAAAAAAATGATCATCCATTGATTTGAAAAACCAAAATCTAGTGATTGATCATCCATTGATTATCAACAAGATAATCCCTATCATTGGCTTTATCAATGGATTATCAATTGATCCACTCATCTGCCGGGAGGAAAAATTAGCACAGACCACACCTCTTCGTAGAAGGTGGCGAAGCAGCAAAGGCCACGGCAGCTATGCAGTAAGGATCCAATGATTCCTCACCAAACTGAAAGAGCGATGTCTTATGGTCAAAAACATGGTGTTTACCCTCTGGTAATTTAACATCACTATGGAAAATCACCATTTTTAATGGGAAAATCCACTATAAATGGTCATGTTCAATAGCTATGTTAAATTACCAGAGGGTATGTGGCTATATACCCTCTGGTAAACGTTTGCATAAAAAACTATGGAAAGATCCACCATGCTATTAATGGGAAAATCCACCAGAGGGTAAATATTACTGTCCACAACACATGGATGACTATGGTCATCCATCCCAGAATGTGAATCCTGAATTGATGCCTGGATTTGGGACTGGGACCACGATTTAAATATGCAGACATAATGGGATACACCATGGGTGGTACTTGTACACTCTAATGTAGGTGAATATGGAAGATGTTTGCTCTAGTCGGATGATATGCACCTTTTTTTTGCTAGATATTGTATTTTTCATTTTTCTGGTTATGCTGAACAGTTGGCATCGGTATTTTGCTGTTTGGCATTAATCTTTGAGAAACGGCAAAGAAAAGATGCGTTTTCATGCAGAAATCTAGCCCATTGGACCAATCTCAAGTTCGATTGGTCCAGAGCCCTTGGGGGTTCAAGTGACTAGCCCACCGGGTGAGTTAAGTGAATGTAGCAACCGCAAAGATACTGCCAACAGACCGAAAATGAAATGCATTTTCAATACTCGAATAAAATGGTGGCTCTTCGAATTTCATCCGTTCCCATCCGTTCCTAACATCTCACCGCCCAGCATCGAAACCACGGACCTCCTTTGGTGACTTCGGGATGAATGCCGATGACCCACTGCGCTTTGGGCGTGGGATCCTGCGCCAAATCTCCCGCTTCGATGCAACAGCTGATCTGGTGCTGGCGCCAGAGCCAGCGTTGTGCCAGGGCCCAGTCGCGGACGTAGTCGTCGAAGAGTTCCATACCGAAGATGGAAAACTCCTGGACCTCGATGATGAAACTGAAAAAAGGGCAACCAGAAAATCATCAACTGTTCCAGTTTCATCCAGTTTGCATAGTTAGGATTCTAAAGGGAAGGTGGAAAAAAACTAAAATCATCAGTGGCTGCAAGCTAGCAGGAGAAGAACGACCCTTGTAGTGAAAGCATGGTGTTCATTGAAGGTGGTCTCCGGAAGAAGATATACCAGGTATAATTCTGCAAGTTCCCTCTGCGAAGATCTCTGTAGAAAATTGTGCGCAAGATCTCCTTGACAGGTTCTCTTTAGAAGCTGCTGTGCAAGTTCCTAAGGCTATCTGCACAAGGTGTCTATAGGAGGTCTTCACAGAAGATCTTTGGATATAAGGGAACTCAAAGTAAGATCTCTGTCCAAGGTATCTATAAACGATCCCCGACCAAGAACTCTGCTCTCTTCAACAGATCTCTGCACAAGATCTCTAAGACAAGTCTCCTCGCAAGACCTCTGTACAAGATCTCTATAAAAATTCCTTTGGCAAGATCTCTGTAAGAGACCTCTTGGCAAAATCTTTGTACATATTTCTATAAGAAGTCTCTTGGCAAGACCTCTAACAAGAAAGATCTATAAAGTATAAAGATCTCTTGGCAAGATCTCTTTTTGGGATCTCTGTACAAGCTCTGTATAAAAGCTCTCTTGGCAAGAGTTATGAAAGAGAGCTCTTGGCAAGTTGTGGATGAATCTGCTTATTGCCTGGATGCTGAGGCCTTTCTCATGGGCAGTGCTGACAGGCAGCTTGGGATATGGATTGCGGGGTGCTTGCATTTTGAAAGAATCCTTAAACAACGTGTCCAAGCTGAGGGGTTCTTGCGGTAGGGGTCAAGGCTGGTGTTTGATCGAGGTGCTCACTCCACATAAAATGGCTCCAATTTTCCTCTTGTGAGACGTCCATGTGCATTTCGACTGCGCAGGCTCGCGCAATGTCTGCAGCGCAACTTGGGTTTGGTCTTGGTCGGCGGCATTTTAGCTGTAAATTTCCGCGCAAAATGGAAAGTATGGGAATGTTGGGGGCACGTGGGTACATCCCGTGTGCAAACCGAGGCTTGCCACATAGTGATGGCTGAAAATAAGGACTATCAACCAATCCTGAACGATAGAACTTGGACCGCAGGCAACACCCTTCCATGGTCGAAACATGGAATATGGATTATACGATTGTCCCACCACCATTTTTCAGGATTATGGATTCCTCTGTAGAGGGGATTGCCATTGTGAAAGTCGGATGTCCAGACACGCTGGCAGTATGAAAATTGAAAGGGAACCAGTCATATTCGCGAAGACGCATCAAAATGCCAAACCCCCTGTAACAACACATGCATAGAAGACTTGCAGAAGGGGAACCGCTCATATGTTCAAAAACGCATCCAAAATCCCACCCTCGTGGAAAAATGCATGCATATTATGTTCACACAATGGGTCCCAATCATAGTGTTGTTGTGTTGTTGTTGTTGTTGTTGTTGTTGTGTTGTTGTTGTGTTGTTGTGTTGTTGTTGTGTTGTTGTTGTGTTGTTGTTGTGTTGTTGTGTTGTTGTTGTGTTGTTGTGTTGTTGTGTTGTTGTGTTGTTGTGTTGTTGTTGTGTTGTTGTGTTGTTGTTGTTGTTTGTTGTTGTGTTGTTGTTGTTGTTGTTGTTGTGTTGTTGTTGTGTGTTGTGTTGTTGTTGTGTTGTTTGTGTTGTTGTTGTTGTGTTGTTGTTGTTGTGTTGTTGTTGTGTTGTTGTTGACGTTTTTTTGTTGTTGTTGTTGTCGTCGTTGTTGTTGTCGGTGTTGTTGTTGTTGTTGTTGTTGTTGTTGTTGTTGTTGTTGTTGTTGTTGTTGTTGTTGTTGTTGTTGTTGTTGTTGTTTTTGTGTGTTGTTGTGTGTTGTTGTGTGTTGTTGTGTGTTGTTGTGTGTTGTTGTGTGTTGTTGTGTGTTGTTGTGTGTTGTTGTGTGTTGTTGTGTGTTGTTGTGTGTTGTTGTGTGTTGTTGTGTGTTGTTGTGTGTGTGTTGTGGTGTGTTGTGGTGTGTTGTGGTGTGTTGTTTGTGTTGTTGTGTGTGTTGTTGTGTGTTGTTGTGTGTTGTTGTGTGTTGTTGTGTGTTGTTGTGTGTTGTTGTGTGTTGTTGTGTGTTGTTGTGTGTTGTTGTGTGTTGTTGTGTGTTGTTGTGTGTTGTGGTGTGTTGTTTGTGTTGTTGTTCGTGTATGTTGTTGTATAGTGTTGTTGCTCGTTCTTCGTGGTTTGTTGTGTTGTTGTGTTGTTGGTGTTGTTCGTGTCTGTTGGTGTGGCTTGTCGTCATGTCTGTTGGGGTGTTGGTTGTGTGTTGTTTTGTTGTTGTTGTTGAACTGTTGTGGTTGTGTTTGTTGTTTGTGTTGTTTAAGTTGTTTGTTGTTGTTGTTGTTGTTTTTTTTGTTGTTGTTGTTGTTGTTGTTGTTGTTGTTGTTGTTGTTGTTGTTGTTGTTGTTGTTGTTGTTGTTGTTGTTGTTGTTGTTGTTGTTGTTGTTGTTGTTGTTGTTGTTGTTGTTGTTGTTGTTGTTGTGTATTGTTGTGTATTGTTGTGTATTGTTGTGTATTGTTGTGTATTGTTGTGTGTTGTTGTGTGTTGTTGTGTGTTGTTGTGTGTTGTTGTGTGTTGTTGTGTGTTGTTGTGTGTTGTTGTGTGTTGTTGTGTGTTGTTGTGTCTTGTTGTGTGTTGTTGTGTGTTGTTGTGTGTTGTTGTGTGTTGTTGTGTGTTGTTGTGTGTTGTTGTGTGTTGTTGTGTGTTGTTGTGTGTTGTTGTGTGTTGTTGTGTGTTGTGTGTTATTGTGTGTTGTTGTGTGTTGTTGTGTGTTGTTGTGTGTTGTTGTGTGTTGTTGTTTGTTGTTGTGTGTTGTTGTGT